TACTACTACTACTACTACTACTACTACTACTACTACTACTACTACTATCTCTTTGCTTGTGTTCGTGACCACCCTGCAGTGGGTAAACGAGTCTTTGTGCATTGGAGATTCCGGAAAAATATCACCAGCCATGTCCAGGAGGATCAGCGGGTCAGCGTTTGCGTCCGCGTGCCTCGGCCGTTCACGGCTTTGGGTCGATCAAGGGGAGTTGGAGTTCCAAAGTCTTGAAGACAACTGTACTTATAGTATTTTATAGTTTGTTGTAGGCCTTGAGATGTCTTGAGTGAAGTTTTGGCACCCTGAAGCAGGTGAAGTGGTGGGACTTCGTGCAGCAATCAATAGACCCCAAACCGTGTTTGGTGTGCAGTTGGGGAAGCTGATGGAGTCCTTCATACTGTAACAGTTCATCCGCGTTTAGACGTTGCCAGACGGAGGACAGCTGATGCGAGTTGTTTTTCGGTTGTTAAATGAGGGACTTCCACAGAAATCAATGCACCCAAGATTGACAGTGGCAGAATGTGGCAGAATTGACGCCAGATGTGTTGAGCCTTTCACCTGCTCATGGATGATAGTTTCCATCGGGTGGTTTGCTCGCTGTAGTGGGATGCACGTGACAGCCTATTCCCAGAGAGGCCCGGTCTGTATGGGTTGAGGGGTGGTCATACGCCGACAGGCATGAACGCTGCAGTTTCAAGATAGACAGATGAACCTTGCCGGACCAGGAATATGTCTTGTTGTTTGCATATTGTTCAAGAACAACCACAGAGGATGTCCTGAAACTTCAGATCACAGCGTTCGTTTTGCATTGCGCGGATGCAAACACCACGCGCCGCAGTTTCGAGGTCCGACCCATGTCAGAAGCCGAAGTCTCGGATGGATTCACCCAGGCCGCGAGGGCGTTGGCCGGTTTGGGGCGTCGGTTTGGAGTCGAATTGAGTCTGATGGGTTGGGCTGGTTGGGTTGGCCGCCAAATCCAGGAAGGAGTTCACGGAGTCGTTCCTTTCCGAAAGATCATGTCAGATATAAATACGTGGGTCTTGCATGGTCTTGCAGATATCGTGGTCAGGTCAGATTGTGTGAGTCTGTCATGGCCGTCCTGAATCCATATATGTTGGCGGTCCATTGTACGCAGAGCGGTCGGAAACCTTAGCAAGGCATTAGATATGCATGATTTGGGCACTGGCAGCTGGTTGGTGTAGTGTGGGCCATGAACGGACTTTTGTGTTTTTGCCTATCAAATTGATCGAGTATTGTATCACGTAATTAGCGCTGTTGATTGATGTCCAAAAGTAATGTATAACTCGATCTTAGTGTTAGGAGGGTGGCCTCCTCCGGGTATGAACCCGAAAGACTGGGTGCAGCAGTACAGCTACTAACAGAAGGCATGACCATCAAGTCATCCGACTTGTACCTATAACTTTAACAGTTGGTGTTTCCACGAAAAGATGGCAGAAACAAAACGGTTTGTTGTGCACGTCACGGCACTTCTAGAGGACCTGAAGAGTGACCGGGATCGCGAGGTCATTGTCCTTCCGAGGTCATCAACTGCGATTTGGACCATCCGGGCACCATCCAAGTCCTAAGGCCGTGGTTTTGCCTCGCCAGTTCCGGGGCCTTCAAGCGGACGACGAATATCGAAGGACAGACAGAGGCTTAACAAAAATAGGTGGACCCTTTTTCGGCTGGATGATAGTGAGAGCGTTCGTTTCTTTTTTTAAGTTGTATGCATCGTTTGAAGAGCCCTCCAGGCTTGGGGGAAGATGACTAGTGACTAGTGGCAATCAATGTGTGGTGGATCTTCGCTGCATCCACTGAAATCCATGAACTTGGAACTTGGCAACTCACCAGAAAACATATCATACCGTCCAGTCTCGACACAAGTGTTGAATTGAATTATGGTTTTTGTTTTTCCAACATCCAAAAACAAAAGAGACAGCTCCTGATGCACGCTGTGAAAGGATCATGTCCATCAGGATTTTGAGCATATGTTTTTTCTCAACACGAAAGAATCCGTTGAGTTCAGTTCACAGAAGACAGTTCCAAAAAGATGGGAAGTTCCCAAGAGATTGTTGCAGGATGTTGTATTGATGTTCAGATAGATTACTCAGTGGGTGGGCGGCAAAGGAACCCCCACCCTCCTTCCAATCACCGGACGTCTACCTATAGTCCTACCTCCACTTTCAGTCCGCAACGACCGACGCCAACCACCGAAGCCGGTCATCCACCGAAGCCTCATCGAGCGTGGTGAGTGGCAGGCCACCAGGGCCCAGCGAAAGCAGGAGATAGAGGGCGATCTGGAAATTAAAATACAAATAGTGCAATCCCTCGTAACATGTGATTGCTTGATGATTCAGATGGTATAGGTGGTAGCATTGTCCAAAAACTGATTCGGATGGGAAGGGATCAAGGGATGGGTGACAAGTTTCTTCCACTTCCACCCATCAGGCTTGGCCCAGGCAGGTCAGCAACGCTCAACATGGGTGGACCCAGAAAAATATCACCAGAGCAAAACTTCCCCAAGAAGATCAACAAGTTTCGGAGCACCAAGAAGCCTTCCAACACTGTAAACGTTTTAAAGCCCTCCGGAAGATGTGCAAGTCAGGATTTGCTGATGAAATCAGATCACCCTTGAGGACATGTATTGATGCTGCACTTCTGGGCATGTCTTTACGCGACGCAACATGCCGTTTTTGCAAGGTGCACTTTATGACGTCACGGTTTGTCCGGTTGGTCAACTTACGTTTCTTCCCCGAGCAATCCAGGTTTTAGAATGCAGTTTACAGTACCTTTGATGATCCTTCTACATCTTCTACCTATATCGAACCCTGCTGGCCCATGGATAGTTTGGGTTGTGTCAGTGTCTGAAAAGGTACGGGCTCGTGACCAAAAGAAGCTCGTTTGGTTCCACTTGCAGCTGCAAGTTGCCTCAGCAGGAAACAAGAGACCTACACCTTTGACACTGTGCTGCCAAGCAGCGTCTGAGACCCTGGCCAACTGTGCCAGCTTGGCACGAACATATTGTTCACAGATGCATTCGTTGACTTGGCAAGTTGGTGCATTGACTCATACGGCTGTGGGTCAAAACCCAAAGCCCTCATCCCTGGTAGGTTGACCTGCCTTGTAGTCGTTTCTGTTCATGTGTGGTGGTCAACCAAGGTCTCCTGGCTTTGACCCAGAGTCATATTCCAAAGAACTAACAAGATGGTGTCCTTGATCGTGAGGTTCTTGAGACTGCCTGGTGTTTGCGACCCCCACTTGGGGCGAGGCTTGACCTTGCCGTGTTGGGAAAGTCCATCACCCAGTCCAATAGTTGGGCCGGTGGCCCACAGATTACACCCCATTAGACTCATGATGTTAAACAATGGTAGCCGAGCAACTGCCACAGCCTGTTGGGTGTTGCAAAGGGCGATGCTGCACCAGAGTCACTTGAGTGATGTTCTCATGATGGATCTTCATCCTCAGTTTTGTCTCTACTACAAGACCCCAGGATTGCTGCTATCAGATCATTTTCTTGATTTGAGAGTTGTAGTTGGTAATTTGGCACACTGGTGGAAGTGTCAATTGGGAGACCAAAGCTGTGAAATTAAAGTTCAATTCCGGGATATGCAAACACATCAAGCCTCATTTGTTAAAGCTATGCAGCTATTTGGCAGGATCGTCCTCACAATCCACTCTTCAACATTTCATCATGATGCTACGATCCAAAAAAATATGTTGATTCACGCATGACAACTTTGGTGTGCTGGTCTAGTTTGGCCATTGCGAACCCGTTGCATTCCTATGGTGGTTGCACACTCATGTACCCTCATTCCACACGGCTTATATGGTGACGTACTCTTGCAGGAGAAATTTGTGTCGAATTCTTTCAGCAACATCAACTCTATGTGCGACCGATGCTGAGGCGGGTCAAGCTGCGGTGTACAATCTGATCGGCACCTTGGTCCGACGTGCCTCCGAAAGTGTTCGTTGTGAGGATGTTATGAGTGTGCTTTTTGGAAAATTGGCAAAGAACATCAAAGAATGCGAAGAACCATGTTGTTCCAACCAAGACTGGCTTATATAGATTCTTTACTACTCCTGTACCAGTTGTTCGGGATTCCGCAATCTGACGCTCGAACAGAAGTGTCAAAAAGCATTACCCGGGGGTTGTCTGCAGCAGCAGCTATTCATACATTTCTTTCGAAATATAGTCTATGCCTATGCGTTGTTGTCCATGCATCAAGCTATATCAAGCTTATAAACTCACGATTCACATGATCCATTGTTAGGGCTCTCCGAATGCTCGTTTTTTTGAACTCTCCAAGTCCAAGTTCAATAAGATCAAAGACTTGGTGCCGATTCGCTGAGGTCGGTCCAAGAGGAATACTATTTCCATGACATGGGCAATCTTCCGGGTCCTATTGTTTCTGTTTACGCCATATATGTGAAAGCGCATACTGTAACTGTAGCTTCTTTTGACGGCCCATGGTCGTGAGAAAGCGAATGGAACGCATGTCCTATGACTAGAAGTCCAATCCATTCTCGCATGGGTCATGGTGGATTACACTGCTGCTCTCGAACCTCTCCTCCCGTTTTCGAGGCAGTCCGATCTTCGACCGCTTGGCCGACGGGTGAAGCGCTCGGCTTATGCGCGCGGGAGTCCGCTTTGTGAGGCAGAAGCGGGACGCCCCTCATGGATCCTCCTGGTTTTCGTCCCCTTTTGGGTGTGAGAGCCTTGACATCTTCGCTGGACATGAGAGCCTGATGAAAAGCCGCATATTTCTGGCCGTTTCATAGGATCCATGGTGGTACTCAGGTTGCAGACCCGACTGTGGCTGGAGTTCCAACAAAATCGGATTTGGTCACCGGACGTTGGAACAATTTATATACCAAAGGTTGAAGGCCCTTGTTGAAGAGTTTGTTTCTAGCTTCAATTGTTCCAAGAGAAAATGAGAGTTGGACGAATTTGCATTGTTGAAGAGCAACACAGACGTATTGTTACTTCACTGCTCAATCTCCAGCAATGAACACTCATTTCAGAGCTTGCTGTCGGACTCTATTCTTCTTTCTGTTGGTGTGTAGACCTTTGTCCAGTTGGCAGATCGGACTCGTAACCACCCAGGTACAACAGCTGCATCATTGCCTTCGGCGCAACGGGATGCGGGAAGAGCCACACCATCTTCGGGCTGAACCCTAAGCAGGAGCAGCTTGCACCTTATGGGGGCCAACTTTTTGCACTAGTCACTAGTAGGGTGTTCCCAGTTGTCATACCCACATGTTTTCTCCTCAACGTTTGTCATGTTGTTTGCTGCTTGAGGTTACAGTGCTAGTTGGATTCACCGTGTGTGTGTGTGTGTGCTCGCACGCGCTGTTGATAGTGAATGAGCGCGACCGGCTGAATCGAAGACTCCGTATCTATGAACAGACAGGGAGACTTCTGCAAGCAGCCGTCATGGCGAAGGGGTCCGTGTTTTGGACCACGATGAGACACGGGGAGCTTTTGACTATGATTTGAAGTTTACGGGAGAAGAACGGAACATGTAACAATGTATTCAAGTTTTACTTTAATTTAGATCAGCGATATATATATATATATATGTTTGCAACCGCATGGTCCCCCCAAGAAATGCGTTGAAGGTGTTTAAAGAATCTATGCATCTTATAAGATTGGCCCACAGATGCCCACTTCTTCGTGCTCTTTTTGGCTCGCTTGACCAGGAGCGTGGACTTGTCCCCCGGATCTCCGAGAGCTTGTTTAAAGCCTTCAGCAATGCTGGGGACCCGAGGGGGTTCCGGCATGTGTGGGGACCTATACGCGGCCCAGAGATGGTAATATCAAACACCTATTTCGTGGGCACAGTCAAAATTCCTTACCTCACCCACACCGGGGTATTGGGGCCCTATAAAGTCTTTGGATGATGTCATCCACCAGCGACCGGACTCCTCAAGATTGGCAGGGGGGCAGAACAGTAGGACGATCCATGAGTCACGTCCTGAAGCAACACTGAAGCGAGGCTTCTCGCCTGCCTCGGCTCCACGTCCACAAAAAGGATCTTTCTTCGGCCTGAAGACTGGCTTGACCAAGTGGGATGATCTGGGCTATGACAAGGATACGTTTTGGATCACCAACGGCCCTTCTTGATGTGGATGATATATGGACATGGCGTGTTTGTGTGGCCCCAAATAGATGAACCGATACAAACAGATGGCCACTACAGGCCACAGACTGCCTTTCTTTTTGTTGTGGGGGGCAGTCAACTCAGTTAACTGAAGACTATAAACATTGTAGCCACAGGCCACAACGTAAACAGCATTCTGCAGTTTGCCCCTTGTCACGTCCTTGGAGTTCTCGTACAGAACAGTTCGTTTCTTGCATCGAATCAACATGCGATGCAGCAATTCACTAGTATTTGTGGGCTTTTTTGCAAATAGAATTCCCAGTCTTAGCAGTGCCCTATGGCTGAAGAGAAACAAGTTATCACATACTCTGTACACCCAAGGACTCAACGACTTGTCATAGCCATTCTACCAGAGGCTACAAGCGGAAGTCATTTGGTGAGGTGGGAAAACAGACGCTGGTCAAAGTCTCCTACTTGGAGCTTTACAATGAGAAGGCCGGGCCTGAAACGACGCTTTCATTTACACCACAGCGGTCCAAAAGACCTCAAGGATCTTGAGAGTTGGACACAAACACCGGGATGGTCGATGTTTTCCCAGATGTTTTTTTTGAACGACATGGTTGTCCATTTTCCTTGTGGTGACATGTCTGTGAAAACCAAGTGGTCTTTTGCAGAATATGTTCATGTGAGTGCCTTTGAGATCCTTTGAGAGCCCCTCCGATCAAGAGGTGCAAGTGTCCTTGTCCGGAAAAAAAGAGCAAACCCATCGGGTCCTGCTTTGCGGCAAACACTATATAAACAATTATAAACATATATGCAAACAACTAGTGTCCTCCCACAATGATAGATGCTTCATATCGGTTCCAACCGCTACTCCCTTCCTGCATGCTGCTCCGAGAGAGGCCAGAGATCTCCTGAAGCCTGATGGAGTGGAAAATGGCCAGGCTGACTCCCCCCGGGTCGTTGATGTCTTGGGTCCAGTTCGGGTCGTTGGAGTCGACCTTCAGTTGGGGTCGTTGGAGTCGACCCGTTCGTACCTGGCAAAAGGCATACGTACCGACTTGGTTTGCCTTGGAGGGTCCAGGTTCTGGTCTTTAAAAACCTCAAGACGCGCCGATTGGGGTTGGGGGTGGTCTCAAAGCATGATGGCGTTTAGATCGACTTGCCACTGACCAAAGGTACGGGAGCTGGAAACAAAGCCTGTTCGGAACCGGTGATGCTGACTATTGTACATATGTACACGTATCTGTATATATAAATATACATACTAATAGACAGACCAGACCAGACCGAGAGATAGATAGAATAGAATAGAATAGAATAGACTAGACTAGACTAGACTAGACTAGACTAGAATAGATAGATAGATAGATAGATAGATAAGATAGATATACAGATAGATAAGAACGACATATAGATAGATAGAAAAATAGATAAGATAGATAAGCAAGACAAGCTAGATTAGACTATAGATTAGATAGATTAGATAGATTATAGATAGATAAGACAGATACGATAGATAAGATAGATACGATAAGATAAGATATGATAAGATCAGATAATATAGATATATAGATAGACAAACAGACAGACAGACAGACAGACAGACAGATAGATAGATAGATAGGATAGATAGGATAGATAGGATAGATAGATGGATAGATAGATAGATAGATAGACAGATAGATAGCTAGCTAGCTAGATAGATAGATAGATAGGATAGTAGGCTAGATAGATAGGATAGGATAGGATCGGATAGGATAGATGGATAGATGGATAGACAGATAGATAGAGAGACAGATAGAGAATATTTATATGAACATATAGTAGAAAATTCAACACACAACACATTGAATGACCAAATTAAGTTTCATCACTTCAAACCATCAGGTACCAATCCACCTGATAACGTGCATCAATGCTTTATATTTCAATTTCTGCGCAATGACGCAAGTCAACTTGCTGGAAATTCCAAGGGTCCGCATTGTCATGATGTCATATTGTCATATTGTTTCCACCAGATCTTCAGCTGAACCTGGCCATTTCCGCGCAGGCGGCATCGCTCGAAGTCCGAGAGCACCCCAAGGCCTTGGGATGATTTCTCGGGGCCCTCTAAAAGCAGATCGCCCGGGTTCGGGCGGGGTCCCTCTAAAAAAGAAGTTATCAAGTACCAGAGCCACCTGAGGGTGTCTCTGGTACTGACCCTCAGAGCAGTCCCGGAGTCTCTATGAATCATTCCTTGTGGGTCCTGGCATCTCAGTTGTTTTCGGGTTCCGGTTCAGGTTATATGTGTCTCATATTCTATAGGCTGCGAACCCGAGTCCAAGTACATGCAGATTTTGTTGGTGACACTAAACATCCCAGAAAATTGTTTTGGCCGTGCAATCCTTGCATAGGGCTTGTTGCGGCTTGTTGGTGGAAGATGTAGAATAAAACTAAGTATAATAATTGTTGATTCCATTTTCTTTAAGAACATCAATACAATCATTGAACAAACATAGGACAACTTTGAGTCAAAACACATTTTGTTCTTGGCCCACCGTGACAAGTCCACTTAGAATTAAATGAAAGGCCTGCAGGGTCAACGAGCTAAGGAGCACATGGGAATTCGATGGAATTAACGGCAGCAAGTGTCCCTCCATAAGCAATTAAAATCGAAGTGTTGGTTGCAAATGAGGTATGTAATGAGAGCCTTGTTGACAGTGATGATATTATGGTAAATGCTCACATCTTGCTTGATTCACCGAGTTGGGCAGACCAATCTATGTCATTTGAAGCACTGAGGCTCTCAGACCAGCCAGACTCGCGGAGTCCTTCACATGGAAGTGAAGTTCACCACCTGTTTGTAGATAAAAATGGTCTTCTATAGGGGCCTATTTTCCACTTACTGACTTCAGCGAGTGTAATACCAAGAGTAACATGGCACTCAACTGGTAGTGGGAATGGTCTTCCCAACTCATTCTGGGAGGTCCTTGGTGTGTTTGTCAGACGGTTACCAGATATATCCAGATATATCATATATTATATATATATGCAGGATTACATTATATTACACTGCTTTCTCAACAAAAAGTGGACCAGTGACTCCGAGGACCGTGGGCTCTTGGGCTTTTTGGGTCCATCCGATACCGTCCCAGATACACAATGTTCAGAACACAGCCGCGTGGTCGGTTACCCATCTTAAAGCATCTGAGGACTTCAGTCTTTCCAAGTAGGTTGGAGGCCATTGCTATTAGGTTGGAGGCCATTACAACTTGCAGCATGATGCTACTAGTAGCAAGAAGCTACTAGGTTGGAGGCCATTGCTATTAGGTTGGAGGCCAGCTCAAGCTTTCCAAATGGGGTGTACCTACAGCATGCTTGGCATCCCAGAGGCTGGTCCAAGGTTCCGGACGAGACAAGACAAGAGACATCGCCAGGCTGGAGTCTTTGTGGAGGGCCTCACGCGCTCAGCGGTCTCCAGTTCAGCCCAGCTGTCATGGCTTTTGTTTTTGGAGAGTCCTTATTGTCTTGGAAAGGAGGTGCCCACATGTCAATGGTCACAAGGAAGGCACCCCTAAAACACTGGTTCTCGGGTTTCAACATGTCTTTTTTGTGTCTTAACGTAGATCCCCAAACCGGGTCAAATCTCAAACAGACTTAAAGCAGGCCGGGCTGTTGTGTGTCTTTTTGGTGAGCCACACCTATACTGTGACTCACATGTGTGTGTGTGTGTGTGTTTGTTTGTAGTATATTATATATATAATATACGTGTGTGTGTGTCATTGGATGTCCTGTTGTTTGATGCGCAAAGCGACGCACCTTCCAATCATAATCCCTCCGGTCTGGGCGGGCAACACATGGCGAAACGGCCAGGAAGATGTCCTACGACTGGTGGATTTTGGTCACAAGATCCGGGTTGGAGACTCGAGTGTCGATCTCTCTACGAAAATGGTTCTCACGGAGCCGCAAGAATGTGACACAGTTCAAGATGAGAACGCATGACTATATATATATATCGTATATATATATTTATTACTGTATATACAATATACACATGTTCCCTCCTTGAAAAGCTTGAAATGTCCATAATCCTGCTAAATCACCCGCAGCTTCCTGACCTTGTACCTTAAGACGCCAGCGTCGCTCCAGGGGGCCAGTACTCCGCAGCTGCGGTGGTCGGTTTTGTTTTCCTATACTCAGGTCGTGCGATCGACGCACATGAATGCGCATAGTTCCCGATCCCACGCAATCGTGACCTTGCATTTGCAGCAAGTCGGGACACTCAGGGGTTCCACTCAGTTGGTATTGAAGGATGGATGCACAGATGAGAAGTCCAGGAAGTTCAAACAGGGTGGTTGGAGAGGGGCGAGCACTCGCTTGTGCACTGGAAATGATACTCGCTGGTGCACTTTTGTGTTTGCTACAAAACGTGTGGAAACATTTGCTGATGGAGTATACTTTCTGTTGCACAAGCGCGTGCTCGCCTGAGAAACTTCTGGCATGGTCAGAAAGAGTTAAGAGAATATACGAAACGCACGTAAAGTGCTAGAGCAGTGTCGAAGATATTCTGTGCTTGTCAGTGCTTGTTTGTAGTGCTGAAAGTGCGCCAGTGAGTGCTAAGTGCACAAGTGAGCTAAAATGCGCAAGTGAGTGAAAACATAATGGTGTGCAAGTAAGTGAGTGCCTTCTTCCTTCTTTTGGAGAGTAGGGCTGCACATGATCCATCATTCTTTCTCCACTCTCACGACAGATTCCTGGCAATTTGGTACCGCGTGACAGATTCCTCTCAGTATCGGACCGGTATGATTCGTGCGTGTTTTTGCTTGTGATTCTTGTGATTGCGTACGTTTGTCGTTTGTTTTTCCAGAGTATTATTCATCCCGCAGGAACCTCTTGCGGGGATACACGGAATGCACTGATCAACTGATCAACCATTGTGTGACCAGTTGCGAGGATAAGCATCGGGGGCTGGCAGAGCCACAAAGACACGGTTTCTTCTTGGAACATCTCGCTACTTAGTTGCTAGGTGAAGTCCTGCATCCGGTGAAGGGTCGGAGGTGTGCCACCTACGGACCATCCTGCAAATTCATTTTAGGATACTTTAGGTATTAGAATAGCTGTTTGACCCCCTGCAAGAAGGAAAATCGACCAGAAACTCATTGCTGGGGAGTTTGCCTTAGAAAATCCAAAGCCTTTTTGAAGTTCTACCTGCACTCCGCTCAACGAACGAGGCGTTGAACGAGCCCGGGAGCCGGCAGATCATGCGCCACTCGCAGCTTCACGCCACTCGCACCTGAGAATGACGAAGTCGATGGAAGTTAGGTTGGAGGTTATGTTGGAGGCCATATGAGACCATGCATAAGAGACCATCGCCCTTAGGTTGAAGCCATCGCTCCTAGGTTGGAAGCCATCACTCTTAGGTTGGAGACCATCGCTCTTGCGCTGGAAGTCATTGCTATTAGGTTAGCTCCCTTGGATGTTCCAAACACTGCTGGCTACATACTCCAAAAGTTTGTGGGCCAGGTGAAGTCGAGAGCAGTTACCCCCCCCAAAGGATCCCATGGATCCTGAGAATTGACCCTGTGTTTTCGACCATGTTCCTTTACAATTCAATGCTTTTGAGGTTCGATGTGAAGTCCAGGGGAAAAGAACCTGAACAATCTAAGGCCCTGGCCTTCCGAGACCCAGTTGAATGCTTGGCCTAAAGCGTTCGTTCAAACTCCTTGGGAAAACCATGAATGGATATGAATGGTGGTTTTCATGGTGGGGAAGGGGGATAGGTACCCCCCTCACTGAACATTGCATGTGATCAAATTTATAGACTTCTGCGCGTTTTTGAATGGGGACACCCTCCAATCAGAGGCAAAACGACCAAAATATGTTGGTTTGTTAGTCTGTTAATCTACTGGGGTGTATCAAAAACCGGCCGAAGGACCTTGGGCTGGTTTCATCTGACCTGTGGTTTGCATTTTCCAGCAACCACGCCAGTGGTTTTGGGGTTGCACTGGTTGGCCAGCACGTCATGTATACAATTTGCGCCTTCTTCCAAATCATTGGCAGAGGGCTGAATTGCCAGGTGTTCTCCATGTTTTCAGACGTTCATTCCATGAATCAGGGGAGGACCTCCGCCCCGTGAACCGGCCCCGGGCTGCTGCTGGTGTGACCTCAGGCTGTGGACCTCGCCGGGGCCGAACGGCTCTTCATGGTAGGCCGGGACCGAACGGCTCTGGCGGAGCACGTTGCCGTGTGGAGCACGGAAAACACATGAAAACACCTATAAAGCAATGTAATTAAAGCACTTCTTTCTATATTGGCTATTGTCCATCTATGTGCTAGTTGAAGGTTCCCAGCTATACTGGAAGTGGCCATAGAGACATAGCCATAGCCTACTAAAGTATAATTTCTGACAAGAAAGCTGACAATTGAATTGCAATACCATTGTGGTTGTTTCATATGCTGACACACACACACACAGAGACAGAGAGAGGCATAGATATATAGTATCTATTTGGTTCAGATTGGAACTGATTTGGTTCAGCTCCTGGGCGGCTGAATCGAGCGAGCGGGGCGCGTTGCATGTGTCCTGGACTTTAAGACCGTTAAGACAGAGTCCTTTGTAACAGTTGCACCTGTTATTTGCTGTAGCTGTTTGACTGTTTGTATAAATTGTCAAAGCAAACCAGCCGGAAGTTCTGACTTGGAAAATACCTCTTGACTTCTTGAATGTATTACATAAGCAGCTGCACAGGGCATTGTGGGACCAAACTGATCCAAACATTGCAAAGCTGATGTTTGTTCCTTCTGTGCTGGTTTCTTGAAGACGCTCTGTACTGAAGTCCAGTGGTTGTGGTGGTGCTTACTCCATCAGCAAACAGAAGAACTCTGGACGATGATCCAGGTACTTGGCTGTGGGACGCATCCCTTTTAGGCAAAAAACATATTGGTCATCCCTGATGTTTTTGCAGTTCCATAGTCTACTCCTCCAAACAATGGCGGTATGTGGAGTGAAATTCTTTGTTTGCAGACACAAAACCGATTGGTGCACTCGGGTGCACTGGACACAGCGTGTTTGGGCAAACCTTGACGGATCTTCACTAGTCTTCCCAAAGGACACTGGCATGCTCCGGTGAAGTAGCAGTGGATCCAACCAGCTAAAGCTGCAACGGAGGCTGTTGGAAGCACACCTTATGCGGAAGTAGGAGACCTCCTGTCTCAGGCGAGGATACACTTCGACGGCGAGAAAGCATGCAAATCAACAAGAGCCTTTTAGCGTCCCGGTCTGAGGATCCCATCGATCCGAAGGAGCGCGTTTCGACACGCGACACTCCTCGCGTGACGTGGAGTGGAGTGTCCTGAGTGGAAAGAAGACACACGGACCCAGGGAAGCGAGTTTGAAAGCTTGTGCTTGTGCTTCATGATCTGAATGTGGTTGTTCTCGCTGTTGGTTGCACCTTCAGATGTGTGTTTCGCTCTCAAGAGACAGTCTTAAGTAGATGAAGCTGCCAGTGCGGCGCTTGTGCGATCTCAGGCTGGGACAAATGATCTCGAAGATCTCCAAAGGCCAGGGCTCCATCAGATTTCATCCATTTGCGTGCCCCTTCCCAGCATGGGCTGTTGAAGACCTGCACCCTAGGATTCCAAGCACCATTATTGATTTAGTTGCTGTTTCTTGTTTTAGTTAAAGTTAAACCAATGTTGACACATCCATTGATTTGCTAAAGGATCTTTACCAAAGAACCTTTCCTTCAAAGGTCTTTGAAAGTTTAGGGTGCAGATTGATGCACTTCTCAAGAACTCGAGAGTGTAAAGGCTAGTGGTAATCCAACTCACCTGGTGAACAAACAGAGCATAGTAGCCTAACTGGTGCAATTCCTTGGAAAACGAAGCCGGACAACTAAACGAAGCCTCAGACAATATTTTAATTTCTATCTTGAAGGTCGCTCACTTACAGCCTGAACAGGCGTTTCAGGGGAGTCAATATGGAGGAAATTCATATCCGCCCAATGTCAATACGGTGTTCCTCTTTTGAGCTCCAATCAAGGAAATCACCGACCAGTACCCAGCCCAAAAGTTGCTTAACTATTTCCTCAGCATGGCAACTACGCAACTACACTCTCGCAGCCCAGCATGGCTCACCAGGAAGAACACATAGCACTGTAAATGAGGACGTATGCAGTAACAAGGGATCGCTACTAGTCACAAAGGGCATCGCTACTAGGAGCAAGGACGCTACGATCGGGGCTCCGGGCCTTACTACTAGTAACAAGAGGACGCTACTAGCAACAAAGGGCATGCAGTAACTTTCATATCAGAAATGTCTTTCCTGGGAGGACCAGAAACACCTTTGTCCCGAAAGCCATCCAGAGTCGGAAAGTGGCCAACAATTGAACGGCCCTACTCAAAGCCGACCACCATCTTCTTAGAACGCTTAGAATAGGTGCACCAGTACCAACAAGTTGTTTGGTTCTGTTCCTTTGGTTTCAGGACATATTCAACATATCTATCACACACGCTCTGTGGGTAGGAGAGCTCTGTGGGTATCAGGATTTATCAGGATGCTTCTTTCAAAAAGACATACACACAACACTTGTTCCACCGCGGCACAGGAATGGCAGGCTCATTTGTGCCCTACCGAAATAGTCACTTGACTGCATGCAGATGGATTAAAAGTGTTAAGAGATTCAACCTGGCATACCGCTTTAGGTTAACTTCTTTTGGTTAAAGTTACGCATGTAAGCTTGGCATCAAATTGATCAACATGTCAAATGTTTTTGCTAAAACGTGCTGTTTCCTGCGTTTTGCTTGGAATGCTAATGCGCAACCCATCTCAAACACGCTACTTGACCTGAGCGAGCCTTAAATATTCAGACTTTTGGTCAATCTTAGTAGAAGGGACCGCACATCAACTATTTCACACATTGGTTTGGGTCTTGTCCCGCAGATAGGTCTCTTTGACCTTCAGCCATTCTGGAAACACGCAAAATCGGGTGTGGAACGCAGGGCATTTGCGAAGTCCCGAAACCGGTGATTTGTTGCCACCTTTGCGACCCATGATCCCCACCGATTTGAGGCAAGCTCACCTTTCTTCTGGCTGACAGCTTGATGGGGTTGGCATCTCAGCTGTGGAAGGAAAACCACTGCTGGCCTGAGCAAGTTGAGACCAAAAGACGTACGCCTGGCAGATCGCAAAAGCATGTACTGTAATACTGTAGCATGCAGTAGCATGTCGTAGCACGCAAGTATGATCAATTTTAGAGCCATTTCACTCTGTTTCAACAGGTGAGATCGTCCCCAAGGGAAGCTATCCATATTAATCGGATAGCTTTGCGGTTCAGGAATATACAATGATGATCGCAAGCTATCGCTGTTCAAACTGCATGTCACAGCCTTCGGCAGTTATCCCATGCACTTCCCTCGTTTTTTGCGGGTAGCTTTGGGCCTTTGGGCATGGTCACTCAGGAACTGCCAGACTGCCATGATTGCTTGCATTTCGTCCTGGCCTTAGCGGATGCCGCATGCCGGCCTAAAGCGAAAAACATATGCTTACACGGTCTATACGCGCTTGGCTCTCTGAGTAACGATAATTGAGGAGCAGATTCTACGAAGTATTCTGGGCTGTATCAGTTTTCTCTTTGGGCTGGGCAACCAGTTCGGAGTATTGAGCAGTTCTGGGGAGTATACAGAGGTTTTTGTCATGAAAACGTCTTGGAGAAGAGACAGGTCGTGAGATTTTTTCATGGCTACTTGAAACCCACTCACCAACATGTGAGTGGTAAACATCTCATTTATGAGGGCTTTTTTCAATATTTTTCACGCAGAAACTGTCAAAGCCCATCAAAGGCCCATGAGTAGTACTGTACCATTAGTGGTAGACAGGACTGCCCATGAAGGTACCTTTGGTATCCTTTGGTATGTTTTGTGATCACCCCACGGTCTATGTTTCTTCGGTTTGATGTGTGATCGTAGTCAGACAGTCAGCCCGTTAGTCTTTCGACTCCGCGGTTCGTTCGATGCGACCGTCGTGCAACCAACAGTAGATCTGATGTGTGAGGTTCTGTGCGGTCAAGAACACCAACATGAACAAACCTAGTTTTGCCTAGTCTTGAGGGGCACCTAGAATCACTCCAAAAACCTCAATCCCATTGAAAAACCTCAGTCTCAGTCTCAAAGCTCAAACCACCCAAACCTCAGTCCAAACCTCAAAGCAGTCAGTCTCATTGAAACGAAGCGCCATGCACCTCGTTCTTCGTAGGCCTTCCTCGTCCTATCAGCAGCTCACGGAGAGCACCTTGCGCTTTGCCACCTCTGCCGCGAGCTGAGACCGAGAGGATTCGTTGATTTGGGGGTTGGGCATGGTTGGGTGCTTTTGTAAGCCTATTTCTTGAGGTTCATTGAGGTTGGTGAGACCGAAACGCTGCACCTGTACGTCACGCGGTCTGGCCAAACCTGAAGTACTGGAATTAGATCATAGTATAGGACCTGTTAAGGGGCCCTTGATTGAGCTACTTTGGGGCCTGACTGCCAGATTCACAAGATCCCATAAGCCGACCGGGGTATATGACAGCACATGTCTTTTGTTCCTTCCTATGTTGTTGGTCCTTCTTTCTTCGACCGGATCGACCGGGGTAGTCTGTCCAAAGACCTCGCCATAATGGCCATCAATGGAGTCGGTTGTGACACACCTGACTGTCATATGTGTCATGATTGAAGTAAACACTGCGTCGCTTCGTGTCTATAACGGACAAAAGAGACTCGTCAATGCACATAGTTTTTGTGACGTCCGGGTGAAGTTCTGTGACGTCCAAATCAATAAAAACTGCGTGCACACGACATGTTGAAAAATGAATATTCTGCCATGCGGCCATGCGGAGTGGCTGAAGATAAAGCACTTTCGCATGAAGTTCCCCATTTGCTTTTGCCAAAGCAGATTCCATATGAATGTTGAAATGAAAATCCATCCAACCCCCACTACGTCGGCTCCGAGCGCATTGTTTTTTTGAGTTCTACCGGGTGGAACCCCGTGGATTCCGCGTTTTTGGAGGTGAAAGAGATCAAGACGAAGCCCGTGCAAAACGAAGAGCCGACCGGGGACTTGGTTGGATCCTCAAGGGGCACCGCTGGGAGAGGAGATGAGTGGCCTGAGGGATGGGGAAGGACCTGCGGAGAGTGAGAGGAGTCAAAGACCCTATGGATCCACAGATCCACCCTCTGAAGGATGCTTGGACATCGCCAGGAGGGTGCAGTCGTACCTTCGAAGGTCTGTGGATCCCCAAGGAGGTTCTTTTTTGCCTTTGACCTAGCTCTCAACTTGCAAGCTAGCAGCTAAGTGAAGAAGTGCAGTGCCGTAACACAATTCCATGATTCCATGCACTGTAGTCCTTCCAGAACTTCTCAGTACTTCTCCGCTGCTTGTGCCACTTCTGAATCCTTCTATGCCTCAACAACTGACCGATGCCTGTCGAGATGTCGGTCGCCCGCTTGTCGAGGTGCAAGCGCTTCGAGCTGAAGTGGCAATGTTGAGACGAAGGCACCCATCACCGAGGAACTCAAGTCTCTGAAGAACGGATCACCAGGGATATGGAGGAAGGAGACGCCTCGGGAAACCAGCGTTGTGCCGGATGGGCCTCGTGATTGTTGGGGGGCAATTCTTGTGTGGGTAGGACAGCCACGAGCGACTTGATACTCTTAAAGCGGAACATCCGAGTATCGGAAAACTCCCTTGGCACTTGGCAAAGAAGTTGGTGTGAGCACATGTTGAAGGATATTGCATGATTTTGCTGTGGGGGCACGCACACATATGCATTCTGCAACATGTGTTTCATCACTGCTGGGTAGCCTTTATAAAGTACACAATCGGCTTATGCTTGAGAAAATGACTTATATCAACACTTTGCAGACGGACTACCAGTTTTGCTCCGTTTGATGTAGCTGGCTTCCGGTGATCTCGAACCCCAAAGGCTCGCACACGGTCCCGTGGCAGGCTGCGGCAGGGCAGCTATGACCAGTCCCAAGCCAGGCAGGGAAAGAAAAGCTTTGGAACAGATATGAAGAGATCATCCAAAATGCGTGAAAGTGGGCGCTTTCCAAGGAAAGAAACACGTGATTTGAGCGATGTTCTGGAACGTGTATCTCCTTGCTTCCTGCAATTTATCATTGTTAGCTAAGCGAGCTAAGCCAGCCATAATGATCATAATGTTGAAGCAAGAGAAGGCTACACAAAATCCAAGCAGTCCAAACAGTCTGCGAGACGAGTGAAGCATAGTGAAGCAGTTTGAAGGAATAATACAAAAGAACTGGTGGGTTCTCAATGCAGTTGTTTCTCGCGATCCCTTTCGGTTTACGTCGGTTTATCTCATCTAGCCGGGTGGGTGACGGCTTGGATGCGGAAACGACGTCAACGATCTAAACGAAACAGACCATGCAGGATCTGGGCAGATCTGGGCATCGGTATTCCGTGGGTCCCATTGGCCCTTGTGGTCCCGGATCATGCCCATTTCGATCGATCCATCTGAGACTACGACCATCAGCTTAGGTGTCACTTTGAATCTTCAAACCTACGACCGTATCTCATTCGCTAGGAGCCCCACTTGCTCGGAACCTTGTTGTCATTTTAGATTATAGAAACATGTTCAACATTTGTCCCGCTCGATCTGTCGACAAGGTGAACCCGCAGGGGTTTCGAGTTCTTCCATCGAACTTGGAAGTCCTGTGCCTCCTTTGTTTCCAAACGGGACCGCCAGGGAGATGGAAGCGCAACTACGCGGGGATGAGTACCTCCAGGAGGGGGCACTTATGGTTCTGCCGTGGAGTCCAGCCTGTAGGGCTCCAAGTACTTCCGTTTCGGTTCGTGTTTGGGATAGGTTTGGAGGTCTCTTTAGATGTCCTCTTCTGAGAAGGAAGAGGCTGAGCCGAGCCAGGGCTGGAGCAAAGGATGAGTCGCGATGGGAGGTCCCGGCCAGATGTTCGAAGGTCAGCTTCGTAGGATTTTGATCACTGCCAACATCTGGCAACAAGAGGGGAACTTCTGCAGATAGTCCCTGGACCTGATTGGAGTCCAGGGGGATGATTGGCATGGGAGGTTCCTTCTGTCCACGTCCAATTATTTGTTATTCCGATCAATCAAGATATTAAGGCACCAGGGGCAGGGGCAGTTTTTTGACAGCTTGGCACATCACAGTACTGATGGGAGAGTTGGTGCTTGAGGAAAGTGAGGGCAGCTATGGCATGTGACTGGGAGATCAGTGATCGTGCAAGTATTCAGTGTGCAGTAGGATTATAGTAATGATGGAAGATGTCCTGCATCACCTGGAACCATCAAGAACACTGCACATATTGTGGTCTTCCTTGCTTTAGGTGGTGCACGATTTCTTCCATCAACAGAAGTGCAGTGTATTTGAGTAAAGCTTAGTGGAAGATCAGAGTGCACATTTCAACCCTTGTACTGGGGTCATCAAGGTTTGTGATCAGAAGCGGTCGATGGCGCCAGGAGGAATTGAGCGCAAACATTGCAGAGATGCAGGTGGGGGCTTAGCGATTCATTTTGTGATCTTCTCCCATGAGCCTTCTTGGGGGAGTGGCTTCCCGACTATAAAGGGACAGCTGGAGAAGGGAAACTGACGGAATCCGGGTATCCACTGCATTTCACCAATCGAAGGATTTCTAGTGAAGAGCTTCCAAGTCCAGGACATGTTATAATATATATATATATATACTATTATACTACCCAATTATATCCATAATGGATCCACATACTCTCTGAGAAGGTCCAGTCGTTTGTTCGACACTTTGGACACTTTCTTTTGGGTCCAATGGAACCGAACCTGAGTCAGGTCCTTGGTCCTTCCACTTTCGATTTGTTCCGACCATAAACACCTACCAAGGCTCGTGCGCTTTGTTCGTCGTACCATGACCCCGTCTCCCAGGCTCGTGCGAAGACGGCCGAAGGGCTCCGTGCGGGTCGCCCAGACGCCTCCGGTGCGGGCGTCCGCCAACACCAACTATTTGCGCCCAACAACCGAACGCAGACAGAGGAACTAATGGAACTTAGGGATTTAATACGTATTTGGCCGCTGTGTTTTTTTTTGACGACCAAGTGGGATGTGACATGATGAACAGACTGTGAACCATGGAAGTCCACCTCGGGTTGGTTCCACTTCGATAGCATCGGTCGGATCGAGGACGCCGGACCTTGCGGCAGTTGGGCCTGCGCAAGTCCGAGGCATGGCGCGGCGAGAGCGATTTGTTTGTTCCGGGGTTCCTTTCAATGAACATATGACCCTAATAATATCTAATAATAATAGGGTAATGTGGACTTTTGATTCATAAAACCTCCAGTATGAAGACTATCCAAATGGGTAACTTCCACCTGCACCCGTCACGTGACAAGGGGTTGAGATGCGACTCAGTCTGCCAGTGCGTGTATCCAAATGGGGAGGGTTATTAATCAAAAGTCCAGATGTGGTAACTACACTCTTTCAGATATACGTGTCCCGGGGTGCATTTGGGACTAGTCCCTAACATGTTCAGCTGTAGAGCGGTATTTCCTGGGGAATAACCGGAGAAAACGGTATCGTAATGATTTTGAACATGACCCAACATGCCTCGAAAAACTGCTAACCTGTCCCATCACAGAAGAGATGCCCATTTTTGTGACGGGCTATGTCAGCTCTTTTTTTGCAAAATCTTCGGGTTTCTTAAATTCGTAAACGGACATGTTAGCATTGTCCGCGCAAACATGTCCACCAAGACACCAAAGCAAGGGAGCCAACTTCTGCGGGACACCAGCACTTCACTTGCCAACGCTCAGTATCCCACACCAGGATTTTTGATAATGATTTTAGTCTAGATTCTAGATTCCCAGGATCACATTGCAAGCCAAAGACCTCTAAGCAGCAACCTGTCCAAATCACATGTTTGCCAAAACAACTTTTGAATCGCTAACGTGTCCTGCTCATGGATCTGACCTTCCAGGTCACCTAACTTAACCAGAAAAGAAAAGAAAAAGCCTTTGAAAGGATACGTAAAAAACCGGGAGAGTAGTCAATACATGGAGTTTTTGGGAAAGGACTTTAGGAGGGGCTTGGAGAGAGGCTCCATGGCCAAAGTGTTTGAAGCCGCCCCACGCTTCAAGCAACCACATTGGGCTCGAATGCGGGATTTAGGTAGAATTTGTGAGGCCCTTTGATTTTGCATGAAGTCAATTCTTCAGTCTGAGACTTAGCTCTGAATCATACTGACATTTGATTTGTATCACTGGGGCCTTAGCTTTTTGTTCACTCCTTATCACAGGGTACACCAGAAGAAAGCCACATGTTCTGGTCGGCTTCGGTCGTCCTGCCAATTGGGAACGGATTCTGGAGGCGAAGAATGGAATCTTCTTGCAGAAGATCTCCTCAGATCCGCTACTTTCAGGCTGTTTGACCTGGACCATGTCGCCTGGAGCGCCTTGGGCCGCGAAACCGCTGCCGTGTGGCTTGTCCGTGCGCATCTCGCAGCCAAGCTTGACTTCATGCACTCAATTCATCGAAGTTAATCCCTGCTCAGGCTGGGGTCGGCCGAGATACCGCAGGGAAAGCATGGGCATTTGTTGTTCATCCGTATTCTATCGGTAGGTGAAGTGGAAACGTCTCCCCAATATTGCCGGTGCAGGGGGATTTGCCAGGTAAGATAGGCCCAGGCCGCCCAGGCCCAGCGCTGGGTGAATTGTGGTGAGTTGGTGGCCATCAAAGCTGCGGAAGATTGTGAGAAAAAACCTATAAAGAAAACATAAAGTGTAACGATGATAACACATTATAGAACATATTCTTTGTCTCATCATGAATTTCCTTAAAATCCACACGAAAGACGTGCCTGGACATAGGGCTTAAAATGCATTCAAAGGCAGTGTTTGTTATGCGCAAGGCAGCTTCTTGCGACGACCCATATAATTTTCAAACCAAGAGGACGATGAATCATGACCAACGGACCAAGGGTATACGGTATACATAGCTAAAGAAAACCAAGCCAATTGGTTCGGCGAGCATTGGAAGGGATCCATTGGAATATGTATACCATAAGCACCAGTTCCCACCTAACCATTCCAAATACGTATTGCAAAGATCTCTTTTCTTACCAGACTGTAATATTATACAGTCAGTTGACCAAAATAAAAGCATCCACCGGTGTCGTTCTTGCTCGGCGTTGCTCGGCTTCGCTTCTGGCTGAGGACGAGTTGCGCATCGGCAGCGATCCCGACTGCGAGATCTTGGTCGACGGCCTGGGCGTCGAGGCGACGATGTGCCACTTGCACTGCCCGGCACCAAGAGGAAGAGACGAAGAAGAGGTGGGTAGCAGACGGTCCTTGGGAAGAGTTTGATACACCGATGTTGCAGATGTTTTGATGGAGAGAAGAGATGTCATCAGAGGTGAGATGTAGAGTAATCAGTTACTGTATATATATATATAAATGCGTAGCTTTGACACTGACCTCTAAGTTCCAGAAAGCCTAGCTTGGACAGATTGATTTTCTGCAAGCATGCAAACAAGTTGACAAGACCATAGCAACGTGACAAGGATGAGACAGCAAACAAGGTGCTTGTGACTTGCTACAGTACTACAGCGTCATCACCCATCCGCCTCAATCCCCCAAAAGAAGCCGCCCAGCTCTCGACAAGCCTCGCTTTGGACTGATGTCCCATGTCCGAAGATGGCAGCATTTGAGGTCTTGATGCCAGCACAATACAAGTTGAGGTCTCAGAGTGAATTTGTGTCAGGATGTGTCAAGTACAGTACCCTGAACCATCCTGAACTCCTTCCATGGTATTTGTGTACGGTGGGTGGTGTATGGTGGGATTTGTGTTCTTAGAGGGTGATGTACTTAGAGGACATCCCAGCCATGTTCAGCGGAAGAAAGAGAGAGCCAAACGAAGACAGATGGAGTAGTGCTGAAGACTGCCAAAAAGGAGCAAAGGATAGCAAAGGCAAGCTGCCCAGAGGAGGAGGCAGTGATAGCTCTGGCAGTAGCATTCACGAACAAAACGTCAAACATGAGATCAAATTTGTCCTGCATACAGCGGCATCCAGATTTCCCACCAGCCTCTTACATGCGCGGGTCAATCAAGGGAACAGAGAACATCCACCCCTCCAAACAGGGAACATCCACCCCTCCAAACAGGGAACATCCCCGGTGTGTTTTCTCGGCCGAATGAAGTCGTACGTCCTGCCTGTCGGGAGCGTCTTCAGGGTTCAACGGCCCAGGTTCTTCCTGGCGATGCGAAGCAACTCTCGGAAGACGAGGCCGGCGCCGTCTGGATGACGCGAAAAAGACGGTTGTTCTTTGGTCAGATAGGGAGACCCTGGGTAATGGGGCTAAACTGAAGATTTCAATTTATACTTATAGATACTAAATGTATTCCTATTTATACCCGAACTCCTTTGAGAGGTTCAAAAGGATCTGTTGAGCCTCTGTCTAGCTGGAAGGATGCACCCTTTCTCATAGGGAAGTGCGGTTCGCCTCAGCGAGGCCGAAGGTATCAAGGGGGAACTGAGGACGGACCTGGGGAAGGGATGTGATGTAGCGCAGGAAACCACTCGAGCCAAGAAGAGGAACCCACTTCTTTTCATAGAATTTCTTAACACCTTGGCTGTTGGTACCTGTGTTTGGGAGCCGTGAGGCTTGAAAAGAAGACATGGTTGCCCTGTTTTAAGCTGGCTGTAGATCATGTGTTTCTTTGCATTGGTTGGAGAGTGGGAGTGATTCGAGTTCGGCGTGCATTCTTTGGACCGCAAGGATGGCCGAGATGGACTTCACAGGAGATGCGAGTCGAAAAACCTCGGGGTTTCGCATGAGTCGAGTGGACATCGTGTCCATCTATGCTGTGCCACGCATCTCCATCTTGAAGGTTCTTAAAGCACTTGCTTTTGAAAACAGAGCCCCCCGCACAATCTCTCTCCATATTCTGGCCCAGAAGTCCATGCATAAAATTCTTAATTAGAGCATCTTAGAGCTATTTGTTGTTAGTTGTTGTTCTTAAATCATGTTTTGTCTTAGGGCAGTCTTCCCTCCTGGGGTTGGTTTGTGCACGCTTTGACGGTCTCCTGTTCCTGAATCACATCCCAGTTCACTCCTGACAGTTTTGGATGTGACATCCCGTCTGTGGCGGTGTTCTAGTGGGACACCCTGAGAAGCGAACCCTGACACAGAGATATGCATGATATGCTGGTGATGGCGTGTGTAAATGTTCTTGGATAGCAAGCTGATCATCTCCCAGGACAGGACCCGCTTGAGTACTTCCTACTATCCTACCCCTTGCAAATCGACCTTTGAACTCACAACATGTTGAGGTCAACAGTTCTTAGCCACAGCTATACAATACCGTCTCAGGAGCAACCAATCTCAAGAGCAACATGTCCTGTGACACCCAGGGCCCAGGGTCGTTGCCTTCGCCAGGAAGGGTTCCTTGTTCAAGCGGGGCAGCGGCATTGTGATGGTGAACAGCATCGTCCTGAAGGACTTCGCCATGGTCCAGCCTGGCCAAGCTGTCTACCACTGGATGGATTGTTGCGACAGCCTCGACTTTCTGAAACCATCAATGATGGTTATGCGTTGAGACATCAGACAGTGACCTGCACACAGAAGGGCATGGTGGTGCACCCTTTGAGCAAGTTCTGGATTTCCTATGGGCCATCGCTACTATAGGTGGAGGCCATCGCTACTAGGGTGGAGGCCATTGCATTGCGTGACTCGCACCTGTGGAGCGAGTTGCCCAGGAGCCGCAAGTGCTCCAGAGCGGGGACTTCTTGCGGGTTCGGGGGCCAGCGTTCAGCATGGACGGGCGTAGTATGGATGTGAGTGTGCATGTTGATATGATTGTTACTGTTCCTGCATGGTACTTTGTTAAACATCATCAGCAGTTTTATGCCCAAGGCCTGGAGGGATTTGGTTTGGTTCAGAAGGTCTCAGACAGATTTGACATTTGCACGTGTCATGGTTCAGCACCATGATGAAGGAGTTTGCACCCACACATACCCACATGAGATGGTGGCATCCTTGACATAGCTTTGATCACATCATGCAACCCAGACACTCAATATCTAGCGTCTCCATGCATATTGCACATTTGGGTTGTTGAAAGGGGTCAATTGGCTGTGGGTCAATGAACAGATTCCTTTATGATCTGTTTATGAAGAATGACCCATGATGAACCCATGCTTTTCTGCGATGCCACCCCATGGGCCCCAGTGTTGGGGTGGGTTGTGACCTGGGTCGCTCGCCCAGCGCGTTTGAGCGGTTCCTGTCGTCTCCAGGTGGGGCGCACGCACTTCTTCCGAGCGGTGGGCACGGCGGCTGGGACGCATGCCTTCCGCGGCGCGGCTGGGGGTAGCAAGGCGTCCATGGATGATCGTGGACCGAGTCGAACGAGATAGAGTCGAAGACCAGAAGGACATTTGATTGATAGAATAGAAGGGAAAGTAAAAGAGAAACTGGACCAGACAACTCGTGACTGGGGTGATGACTTGGTCATAGACGAGGTGACTTTGTACGAGGCATAGAGAAATGCATATAGCATGATATGCTGGTTTGTTACCGACAAACAAGTTCCTGGTGGATGTGAACTTCGAGTGCCACTCCACAGATTCCTTACGGTCAGGAGTTGTTGGAGCTGAAATGGAACTCCTCAAAAGGACAGGTTGATTGAATGCAACTCCTTCATGCAGATCCCAGGTCATTTTGTTGAGGTTGTGGTTCTGGTTCTGGTTCTTGTTGTTGTTGTTGTTGTTGTTGTTGTTGTTGTTGTTGAGGTGGTGAGATGTGGTATACGGATGTTGCTCCCTGGTCTGGTCCGTCGTGGAGGTGTTCAAGGTCCTGTGTGAGTGGTGAATAAAGAGATCCATAGACCATGGATGACCATACTGGACCATAGACCATGTTTCTTGGGATCAGAAGTGATCAAGTTCACAACCAGTAAAACTATGGAAAGCATTGTGTGTCTCGCTGGTCAATTGTTATAGACTGTCAAGCATGTTGGCTGGACAAATAGGTCCCGAACTGATCACCCGGCGTTTCTTTGCTGGACAAGATCCGGAACGACCCAGGACGCCCTTTCAGCTGACCGTGCTGAGGCACCTGGAGATGTGGCGGAATGAAGCGAACATGTGAAGTCAATCAAATCTACTCGCTTCAAGTACTTCCTCAGACCACGAGAAAGCCCCTTGTGAAGGGCAATGTGCACTCTGGGTTCCAAAAACTTTGTCAGATGGTGAAAACCAGCCCTCCAAGCTTCAAAGGCCAAAGCTTTGGAGGTATATTGTTTAGTTGGAGCCTCAGGGCAAAGACCATGCTCTTAGAGGTGCGATTAAGGTGAGGGAGGCTTTGTGTGAATTCGCTTTGGCCCCACTATGAATCCAAGGGACGGACTGTTTTCTTTTTTCTGAGGTATTGGTTGCCAGATGTTGTCAGAGGTGAAAGGCTTTAAACAATATCTACCCAAATGTCGCTTGGGGCGACTCCGGTTGCTCCGAAATCGCATGACTCTAAATTTGGAATGCGGCTGCGTACAAAACCCTGTAAGCAGTAATCACCAGAAAGCCAAACCTCTGTATGTACAACAGGAAATTGACCTCCTGCCACTAGAGGCGGTCCCTTCCCCTTCAAGCCTCCCGAAAAATGGCCGGGTCCACGCCTTTCACCCACGTGAGTAGTGCAGGATGCTCGGGTCATGGACGCTGCCATTGGCATCGATGTGGCCAAGGCAACGGAGTCGTTCATCGGATCATCGGAGTTCTCGACCGGTCATGAGGAACCGTACAAGAGCGTCGAAAGGAAGCAGGATCTCAGGGCAGTATATACTTAAAATAGGATTTAATACAGGCAAGATCTGGGTGAGATACCGGTTCTGTATGGAAAAAGCACACCGCAGCTGCAGAGAACCCGATGTTGCAAACCTCAGGTCCCAGGTATTGCTCCAACCCGGATACTTCGAGCCCTTGCGTTTCAACTTAGACCCTGCCAATTCTTAGGGCCTTAGGGCTTGGAAAGGTAGGGTCGGGTAGAGTCATGTATAGTTCATGTTGTGTTTGTTTCATTGTTCCATTGAAGGGGGACTTGATACTGAGTGCTTCTGATATGTTTGTTGATTAATCTTGATACATATTGAGGAATCCGAGTGAAAAAGAATCAAACTTCGGGAGTGAGGAACAAAACGATGCCCAGTCGAATCGACTATGATCAAGTTACTTCTTTGGGAAGCAGAAAGCAGAGATTGACAGGACGTACTACACCCCACGCGCACACAGCATGTTTGTGCATATATGTAATTGCCGTTCATTGACCCTTGAAACCACCCCAATGTCGATGAAATACTCGTTCATTCCGTGTGTCACTCGTACAGACTTCCTAGGGCCGTTTGCTCCACGGCGGCCTTACAGCGTCGCGACGCCGTCTGCTCTGGTCGGTGGATGGTGCGCCAAAACACAGACCATGGCGCCAATCCGAATGCGACCAAAGCTGACGGTTGGTTTAAACGCGATTTGGTTTCACGGAACATCTACAGGAAGCCCATAGTTTTGGGAGGTGAAAATACCATAGTGTCCTGTAGATGTTCCAGCAATCCATTGAATGTCATTGATTCAAAGTAGGTACGAACAGCAGGCATCTTCTGAGAGAATGTCTTCAGAGGCCTGAGGGTATCTCCTTTGGTCTCCATGAAAGCACGACAGAAACGCCACTGACCAGGACGCGCAGCACTTGCGTGATCGCTTTGGAGTGGAGAAGGCGGACGAGGTGGGTCGTTTGTTTGGTTTCCGGCAAGCAAAATCCGATATAGAACGCCCAGACACTCCATGTATAGATTATAAGGTGGATTCAAGGGTCAATGTACTCTGCTTTGGTTAATCTAGGACAGAAGGAGAAAGACACCAAGTGATTTGGCCTGCAAAAACACGGTGGTCAGTCCGAACACATCCGGAATCGTTTGTCGGTCCCAGTTTCCAGCCGCATGCTTGGGGATCAGGGTTCCATGAGATTCCATGAGGTTCCATGCCAGTCAGAAACCATCAGAATCAGAACCCCCATGCCAGTCCAACAGTTTCGGAGTGCACAGCAAGTCCAACCGGCAGTCGCAACATGGGCTCTTGGCCAAAAGTCGTCTCACTCTTCTCACGCCTTTCGTCTTTGGTGAGATTGTGGTGTTTTCGCTTCGAGTGGTTTTGGTGTCCGTCATTCAGACCTTGCCCAGCAAGAATGGGTATAAAAAGGGCATCAAATACAAAGATCCATTCTGAGATATTCTGAGTTTTGACTTCCAGATCAATTCATCAAACTCAAACAGGCCTTGCAGCAACATCCTGCAAGGTGATCCGGGATTTGAAAGAGCTGAAGCTGGTGGTGGAAGAGGCCAGAAATGGGTTGATAGGAATGTCAGAGGGTACAGTTTGAGCTCGTCAATGGCTCACCTGCCAAAGCCTCATGGAGGATGGCTGCAACCTCAAGATAATGAAATATGCTTTTTGTTTGTAAGTTTCTAGCGTTTCTATGGAAACTCGGTGAAGTGAAGGAAGCTTCATATGCAATATTTATAAAGCATGTGAATGCAGCGACTGAATCCTTTCACGATTCTGTAGGTATGCTCTCGTTTGAGGCAGATCTATCTCCCTTCTTTTGCTTGGCACTGTCATTGAGTCGCTTCTCGCGGTTTTGGTCGACATTGCCATCTTGCTCGTTGCTCATCCAACTGCAACAAACATGTGTAGTGACTGGGTGCACCAAACCCGGTGGGACTCGAAGCAAACCCCGTGGTGCCGAAAAGCTCTCGTGCCTGCGACACGACGAAGTGGGAATTTGGGCGGGTTAAGAACACCCCCGAGTCCAGGTCAACAAACTTAACAAGGTCTCATTTGCGCCCTTCACGATTTGAAAAGGAAGACTGCGTGTTTGAGAAGGGAGAGTTGGAGAATCCAAGTAGAACTAGTATTTAGTAGTCATACAAGAGTAGGAGGAGGAGGAGCAGCAGTAGCAGTAGCAGTAGGAGGAGGATGCAAGTGAAACATGATCAAATCAATAAGGGGTATATAGTAGTGCAGATTATTCAGCTGGACCAGCCCTTGTGGGGGGTGCCCTTTGTGATCTTCTCAAATGATTGTACTGTATGTGTTCTAAAACGGACATCTAAAACCCCTGAACCTTGCGCATGACCAGCTGAAGAACAACAATCAGAAGATAACTGGCGGGCCTATTGATGAGAAGTATCAGAAAGGCCAAGCCATCAATGAGCAAAGACCTCTGTTCACACAGAGATTAGCTGATTAGCTGCAGCAGAAGCAGATGGGGATGGCAGCATGATGCATAAACCTCTCCTAGTTAATCAGATGGAACTAGAAAGTTGACTTGGTTGCGTGGCTCGGATTAACTGGTGGGTGGTTCTAACAGCCCCATGCTTATTTCTTGGAGGAAATTAACAACCAATCACTACTTTCAAATCGTGCCTGTTGTGGCTCGGAGTACGTAACTAGGAGAGGTTCATTAATGAATCCTATACATTGACGGCAGCTCTCCCTTCCGCTTCCCCCGGGAACCTCTGCTTTCACCTGTCGCGGTCGTGCGGGAGCTCGAGGCCAACGAGCTCACCGTCGAGCTGCGGGGCTTGGATGAGGTGAGCTTCAAGGCCCGGTGGCGCGGTGGGTCAATGGCAGTAGGGGCAGCCTGCTTGACCCGGGTCAAGTGAAGAGATTCCCCAAAATGTTCCGGATGTCAAGCTAATGTAGACTCTGGAATATTATTACCCTTCCTTTGAAGAGGATGTTCAATTCATCTGGGGGTTGTATTAATCAAGAGTCTACATTACCATGGATTCCATGGATTTAATGGGGGAGGTTGAGTTCCTCACATCCATGTGGATGTCAAGCTAGCAGCTGCCTGTGACCAGGTCGTCAGGTGCAAGAAGAGATCCTGATTTTGAGGAGTTGATGAATGTCTATGTCTATGGACCATATCCATCCATACAGCCAAAAAACATGGTGATGAAATGGATGGAATCATATGGAATCATATGGAATCCGTCGATGAAGTGTTATGGAAGCATATGGACTGCTTGGGATTTGGACCTTCAGGGGCTTCGGACGCATCGAGACGGGTATCCAGGCTCTCCCTGAAAGAAGTCAAAAGGTATCTCGATCTGAGCATAGGGATGCGCTCACTCAAAGTCATGGAGTTTCCCGATTGATCCACATACCCGACTGTGAGAAGGTGATGTGTTCAACACTTTGATGTATAAAGCTTTGGAGGGTCCAGCTGTACCGAACCTGAGAAGGTATGTTTGTGGAATGTCTATAGAGTCTAGGGTGTGTAGACATCCCTCGACCCTTTTTGGGACGCTGCCAGGGCCGTTTGCTCATGGATCCCCTCGAGAGTGAGGAGAAGAAGCGACGACCGCGACTCGTCCTCGTCCGGTATATACGATTTCCATCCAACGATCTCTACGAGAAAATCCAACGGCCTCCCAAGAGGGTCCTAAGGTTTTGAGGATGTAGTTGGAGGCCCGTGTCAGTTTTGAGGTACTGGAGAAGGAACCTGGGTTGCTATTTGTGTTTCTTTTGGGAACCAGCCTGATGGCAAGTCTTGGTAAGTGTTTAGGTTCCATTGAGGTAGGCAACTTTACAAAGGACCAAGGACTAAAGGAGTACATGTGATTACATGTGAGCTACGGTCAAAACATGCGAAGACCACTTTAGTAAAGAGGGGTAAGTTTGTGCGCAAAACCCTGCAAAACGATAAGGTCCATCTCAACACCGATGACGTTCATGTTTTTCCTTGAAGAATAAGGAGTTTTGACCGTCACTCATGTGTACGAAATCTCCGGAAGACGTTCTGGCTAGTTCGTTTTTTGAAGTTGTAAAATAGGACCAAACCGTATACTGAGTGTCGGACCTCAACCGTCGGTTGCAGTTTGTCAGGAGCCTTCGGTGGTGGTCTCGAAGATTGAGCGCTTGGAGCTCAGAACGTTTCGGCCTGGGAAGCGAGCGAACTGGAAGCCATTGTTCTATGAGATAGCTGAAGCCATGAATCGAACATCAAGATACATCAGCTATATCACAACAACTGGAATAACACATCTACATACATCTACCGTGACCTTTGTTTTGATGGAGTTCCATATAGGTAAGCCATGACTACAAAGACAGCTCAAGAGCTCGGATGATCAAACCCTTTGGTTGCTTGGTCCCTCAGGCCCAGAAGGCAGTGAAGAGAGGACGCATCGAAGTCAGGAAATGATCATTTGGTTAAATCATGCCGCACTCGATGTCCTATAAATATATCACTGCCTTTAACCAAGGTTATTTGCCTACCAAAGACCAAATCTTCATGCCACCGCCCCAAAGCAGGTGCTGAAGTTGGTGAGAGACCCTCTCATCGGTGTCAAAAAGTGGATTCAAAAAGGCCCTACGCCGACGGTAATAGCTTGGAACCATTTTCCAAGGCACTTGCATTCTCCCAACAAATTGTGTTCCCTGTTGTCCCGACTGGTGCTGCGCATGTTGCAAAAGATGAACGCATAGAACCGCAGGATGGCTGGTTTCTAGACAAAGATGTCGGTTGTCTTTCGAGGGTCCATTTTCTGACCAGCCAAGGGTTCAGTGACTTTAATTGCATTTCCGCAGACTCAGTGCAGTAATAACTCTTCTGATTTTGTAGACAGTTTGCAACCTCAAAGCGTTGGATAAGATCCAAGGATGATCATTCCACATCATCACTATGGGTGAAACATATAAAACGGTACCCTACTACAAGTGGCTATCCTCATCAGAACGCCAATCTTGCTTATCATGCTGAGTTTACAGCCTGTGACAGGCTCACTGAAGTCAGAAGATATACACAGAGACATTATATCAATCAGATCACAGAGTGGTCTTGGTCGGCCACCGCCTCTAGAACAATGCCGAAGCACCTTGATTAGACCATGTGTTCTTTTGGACATCGATGACCACTTCAAACAGTGACAGTCTTGCCGGCTTTCTGGTCCGCTCGGACCCTGTGGACACGTGCTTTCTGCGGCCAGCGTGGGCCTCCACCCCGTGGCCTCCGCGGGAGGAGCCATTTAGCCGCTACATGGACCCTCGCAGACTTTCAGCTTCGCTTGGAGGACGGTGTGGGAATGTGGTTTCAGAGGGGAATGGTGATGGAGAACCAGTGAAACCATTGAACGTCTCCATCATCCCAAACCCGGCCCAAGCCCCTATAACGATATCCATACCCTTCTGAACCCTTCCATCTTCATGCTGTTTGTGCGTCTGGAAGATGAGTACGTATTCCTCTAACAGATATTGGTAGCTTGATCGCTGGTCCAGTTTGCTTGCTGGGTTTGTTCAAGGACATTTATGAAAATAGGGAGACCTCCAAAGAACCCCCTGGAAGAAGCAACACCCATTATAGTTGGTGGTTTCCCTTAAGACACATACACTCAGAATCAGACCTATTTCCATTATTTCGTGACCTGGCGAATGAAAGGAAAGTTGTTCTTTCGCTCCAACAGGTCATGCGCGACATCTACGATGAGGCGAGGCGATCTGAGCTATTTGAACGACGCCCGCGGACCGCGGCCGTCGTAAGCCCGTTCTGGACAGTCCTTGGGTCTGGAAGATATCGCCAGACTTGGGACTGCAGGCATAGACCTGTATGTGTCCTTGCCACAACTTCTTTGGGCTTGAATTCCTTCAATCCTACTCGTACAAGACTGGCAGTCGGACCCTATGAACTCCTATCATTCGTGTTCCATAATGTTCCAATGGTCGACTGAAGAGTAGTTAAGTTGGTAGTGGAAACGGCGATGAGAAGCACCCTGTGGCCCCCTTCATCGTCAGTCCCTTCCGTCGGCCTGGCAAGCGAGTGCGGAAACGGCGTTTTCTGATCTCGCTTGGAGCACTCTTGGGACTCCTGCTTTTCATGGTGAACTGAACAAAAATACAAACAGCTCCCACTAAGTCTTTTGGAGGCTGCACAAGTATTGTACAAAACGAACCATATTGTATCCATTCAATATATAGAATATTATATAATCAGACCCTGTGTAGATGTATTTTTTCAATTTATTTCCACATAAATCTATTTGCAACTGTTGGTATGTCCTTGTCCAAGCGCAACTAGCTATACCCTTGGCTTTGAGCTCGGTCTTCCGTTTCTGAAAGTTCATAGCTCGGTCTTCCGTTGGTTCTTCTTTTACAACTGTTTGTGATGTCAAGGCCTTGATCCAGGCACCTTCCGTCGACCGACCCTTCGACCGAGCGAAACGAGCTCCATCCAGGTGAGGCACCGGGATTTGCCCTGGGGGCAACCGGGTGACCTGGATCCGTGGCAGGCGCCAGGGCTGTTCCGTGCCGCCGGTTCATTCCCAGAGCATGCAATATATATATATATAGTGTGTTTTTACCTTAGGGTCATTCATGGGGTACATAATATATACAATGTATCTAGTTAATATAAATTATCTAACTATTCCATACATGGATGGATTTGGGATTGGTTGTTATTGCTATTTGCAGCAAAGCAGTAAACCCTAAATGCCCGGAAACTCAACAATCCAGCCCCAAGCTGTTCAGCCATTGGTCATGGGTCAGCCGCTTGCAGTGCAGCCGCTGGGGTGGCCGACCAAGGTGAGAGGTAGTTGAAAGTGTCACCATTAAAATACCTTGGCCATCTGTGTGCGAATCTCTAAACAATCAAGCAACCTGAAAGATGCCCTGTGCGAATGAACAGAAGGAGGATTGTTTGATTAGTAGAAGCAAGAGCATGACCAAATAGCAATCAAGTTTGCACTTTCCACCTGCCCCAGCTTATTCGATACACATACTGTAACACTTCTAGGTACATAGGTACAGCAGCGGTATCCAATCTGTTCAGCTTCTTCACGTCTCTGACTGCAGCTAGATGTATTTGATATGATTTGATGTTTTCTCGAAGTACTGTGATAGCCTCGTTCAGTTACGTTTGCTTGCTTATAGCAACTGTCTCTTAGAGATAGGACATGGTCACTGTCCCTTTGAGAAGTCGTGAACATTGTTTGTCTCTTGCGTGTGCTTTCGCTTCGCCTTCGGCTTATTAGTTAAAAGAATCAAGTTGAGAGACATACTCTCTTGCCATGGGGAATTCCAACAGTGATGGTGAAACCACCGTCGACGACTGCGAATCGCTGGCCCGACCCATGCCAGAGAGACTCCTATGCAGAGATGGTGCAGTCCTAGCGTCCTAGCGAACCTGAACCAGCTGGAAATACAGTAAGCTCTGCACTTTGCAAGACACTATATCACGAAATCTAGGTACAACCAACACTTGCAGAACATCCTGGTGGTTCAGCTCTCTCTGAGCTGAACACAGCATATCCGGGTCACCCAACCCCGTCAATCCAGAGATCCGGCCGATGTGTCCAACGTGTTTGGGCATCGTATACATGTTCATTATAGTTTCGTTTGTATTTGCACGTCAGAATAATGAACAAGAGCTTCACCAGGCAAGGAAACCACAGACTCTTGCCTTGACCATCCACCAGGCACAAAAAGCAAGCCATCAAACACACATCGAGTAGCAGAGTGAATACTCTTGCCAGGCCATTCCTCGGTTCACTTGGGGCGTGGCATGGTGTTTATCATGTTTTCAGTCAATGCTTTTTGTTTCGCTTTACGCTTTTTTCAGCCGAGGATGACTGCAGTGAGTCGAAGGATATTTAATCTTCATTTGAAAAATCGCTCCTTTTCCAGCTGGGAAGAGTTCATCGAGGCCTTGCCAAGCACTGCCCCGCAAGGAGCTAGCCAAAGCATCGTCAAATGTGATCCAATGGATACCTGTTGACGGCTGATTGGGTGATTTTTATGTGTCCCTTTTGTATCCTTTGGTGACATTATAAAGCTTCATGTTTATAGGTTCCTTATAAAGTGAATTCAAGGATATTTGCAGTTGGGTGGCAACCTTCCTGATTGAAAGCTGTATTTGGGGCTTGGTGGCCTATTTTGCTGACCAGAGTGCTGCGATTGGAATCGTCCTGTCTGCCCTCTACGGCCTTGTGCTTTTTCTTTGTGTCTTGCCGAGTTTGTTCAGGCTTTTGAGGGCAAAACCTTCCCTACCGATACTGGTTCAGGGGTGGATCATGTGATTTTCAGGGTCCCCTAAGCCCTTAGGAACCGGTGGAACAGGCAGATCTTTGCTTTTTGTCGGTGGATTGTTGTAAGAAACTGTTTTGGGGTTAGGTGTCGACCGATGGCTTTCTCCGCAGATGGCCGGCATGCTATGGCCCAATATTCCTGTGGCCGTTGGTGCAGTGGGTGCTTTGGTGGCTACATACTTGCCGGACAATGATGAGTCCAAGCTGCCCATGCTGATGAATCAGTTGATTGTAATATTGTTATTGTTTCTGTCCCTCAGACATCCCTGAAGGTAGGGTTATATAAAGGGACCTTTGAAGAGATTGGGTGATTTCCAGGTCCATCTTGCATATTCAAGGCTACCCTCACGCGCTCTGATTTTCTGCATCCTCCCTGCAACACTGGCCACAATCTATTGGATGAGGCGGCTCCCAGAGGACCCCGACCGATCCACCTTGGTCAGCAACCTCTTCCTAGGACTTTGGGCAGCGACCATTGCACTGCGCGCGATGCTGGTGGACGACGACAGCCTTAAAGATCTTGGGTATTTCGATTTCGCCAGCCTAGTAGCGCCACGGAGTCGGAGCTCGGAGTCGATCGTCGTCGCCTGCACTCAGCAGATTGACGTCGTTGAAGTGAACATTCGGTCCAATCTTTTGTGGTGTTTTCAGGGAATTCAGCCGAGATGCTTTGGGATTCGGTTGATTCCTTCCAATATAATTCGTAGGGAGCCTACAAACAAGTCTTGCATGGGTGGAAAGAAAAGGGGGAGCCGATTCTTTGTTGCTTTCGAATCCTTATGTACGTCCCCATGCTTCGGGTTCAGACGTGATCTCTTTAGGTGCTTGGTGCAATCTCTGTTGGTGTGGCCGTGTGGTTCTTTGAGCGGCCGGGCCGCTGGGGCTCAGTGGATGCTGACCTGAAAGAAGGAAGCCTTTTGCTTCTGAATGGTTTTGAAGAAACAAGCCAAGTGAGCTTGTCTCAGAATAGGGGTATTCTATACTACACACATTCTTGAAAGCAGATATAGGAGTTGCCTTTTTGTGAACTCTTCAGAAAGGGCTAGCTCCGCCAGAGCTTAAATCTCAAATCAGTAGATTTCAGTGCTTTACATCCACAAGTGGCGACCCAGAACGGTTGGCCCTCAAGATCCCTTGGCCAATCCTAAGGGAAGATGTCGGCACAATTTGTCACATAGTTTGCACACCCTGAAAAAAGAAGAGTAGGTCTCACAATCCAACTCAGATCCCGGGCATATGACTTGCACCCACATTGTTCGTCTAGAGCTTGCATGTTCATTGCACTACATTACATTACATTACATTATACATTACATTGCATTGCGTTACATTGCTTTACATTGCTTTACATTACATTACATTACATACATATACATTATATATACTGGATAGCCTTGTTAGTTCCGCTACTCCGTCAAACCAAATCTGATAAACATCCCACGGTGTTTGTCAATTGGAGCAATACCGCAACCCTCAAAAAAGGTTGCAAGAGGATGTTCCTTTGCCAGGCGGTGGCGATGGGTTCTGTTTTCACATATTTACCAGGCTACCGCCTGCAGCCGCCGACCCCCAAGGGATAGAACCTTAGCGCTAGCCTTGCTCTATGTTAGCCTTAAGCCTTAGCCTTAGCCTTAAGAGTGCAGACCCAACCCAGCACCACCAAAGCAGGTACCCAAAAAGTCGACTTTTTGGGTACCTCCCAGATTTACCATCGGACTCTTGCATGAACCCCGATCATTGCCCAAGAATTTAGACCCAACCCTTCACCACCAAAGCAGGTACCCAAAAAGTCGACTTTTTGGGTACCTCCCAGGTTTACCCAACCCAGCACCACCAAAGCAGGTACCCAAAAAGACAAAGCCTAGAGCATTCCTAGGAAAATGCAAGAAAAGCCTCTGAAAATCTCATAAACCAACAGAAAACGTGACAAAATCTACGAAAAAGCAAGGGCATTGGCCGGGACCATGCCGCGACCAGCCCGGGATTCGAGCCCAGGACCATTTTGGACCGTGCTTATTTTCCCGCGCGGGTCGAGAGGGTGCCCCAAGATGTAAATCAATTGGGATGGCAGATTCTTGGACAATCCAGGTCGCTTTCCCGGCAGGATTTCGTCACTGCAACAAGGGTCCGGAGGTGTAGGGGAGGTAAGGTCTAGGTCTAAGGCTAAGGACTAGGTCTAAGGCTAAGGACTAAGGCTTAAGGCTACTTAAATAATCTGTTTTTTTA